AGGCATACATACATATAACTGATATGTCTTATTTTATGATTTAACTTTTAAAAAGGTTTATTTTTTTATTAAATTTCTATTAAGAACTATTTTACATTAGTTTTGAGTTAACTGTAACAAGTCAATAATCATGATTTTAAATATACATACATTTTATATATACATAATATAGTACCTAACCTATAAGTTAACATCTAGTATATTATATTTTTTAAATGCATACTAATTTTACAACTTTTTTAAACCATGTTATTTAATTAAAAACAACTTAATTCAAAATTGCAAATTCTACATATTACCCCGTATTATATTTACAATATTACAAACCACTTAAATAATTTCAAATTGTTTAAAAGAAAAAGACAATGAATAGCTAAATATTTCAAATTTAAATCATATAATGTTTTATTTTAAGATTATTTTAACAATATRATTATGAATATTGTTAAGAACAATAAGGTARTATGTAGGGCATGTAGGCAAACAACTTATCAATTTAAATATATCATGACTGAAATCATCCCATTTTATATTACTATTATTATGAGTCATTATAAAAGGCATTTGTGTAGCAGGTGATCTACCAATTTACTAGAAGTGATCCATTACAGAATTTAGATATGCAAATATACATTGTACATATTACGTATAAAATATTTTTCACCATTTATTATTAAGATATTTTTTTTTAGGATCATCAAATAAAATAAGAATTCAATTAAATATACACAATTTACTGTCATTGACTATTTCAACGATATACATTTTTTTTTTTTTTATTGATCTTTATATATAACTCGGCAACAAGGACCATTAGTTAATCTCTTAAATTCTAATTATAAAAATTTTATTTCTATTATTATCGAAATTAGGCGTACCTTCATGGCAACATTATTATAATGTATAAGATTTATTTAAATGTAATGTTTCCGTCTTTAATTATATTTTTGTTTGTTTAACYGAGACATGACTCACTGATGGTTTTTATGATAATGAATTAAGTTTGTCAAACTATTTCATTTTTCGATGTGATAAAAATAATTTAACTAGTAATTGTCGTAGGGGTGGTGGTGTGCTTATTGCCATTCGTAATGACATCTTATGTAAGTTATTGCCCACATCAATTTCCAACGTCGAGCAWGTATTTGTGAAATTTACAACCAATAGTTTTCCCTCTATTGTTTGCTCCGTCTACATCCTACCTAACAGTTCTATCCACATATATGAGTCCTTTATGTCAGCCGTCCAAATTATAATCTCTACCCATTCCGATTGTGTATTCTTGTTTTGTGGCGATTTTAATATTCCATACGTAAGCTAGTAAATGACAACTATGGACTCTTACACTTCTGTCTCTGATATACAAGACTTCATTGCGTGCCCGAAATATTTACATTTCTTAACTTTTTTGATTAAATAGTGTACCTAACTCTTCTGGTAATATCTTTGACCTAGTATTCTCTAATAATGCTAACATGTGTATTTCAAAATCTGATACTGTGGTTGTACCAAGTGATTCTTACCATCCAGCTTTTAACTTAATTTTCACTTTCGACCAGGAACTGTTATCTATTCATAACATTCTAATACTTCTAATAACTTCATTGATTTCCGTAAAGGTTGTTATATAAAGATTTTCTCAGATTTGACTTCGTTCAATTGGCTTCAAACTATTACTTCACTTGATATTGACTCAGCAACGCACGCTATTTATGACGCTTTACATTATTGTATATTAAATTTTGTTCGTGAAGTCAAATATAAACCTTCAAGATTTCCTAGTTGGTTTTCTAGAGATTTAAAGTCCATTGCTTGGGGGAAGAAAAAAGAAGCATGCTAAGTATAAATCAACTCAGTGTCCTCGTGACTACTCTGAATTTTCTACTCTTCGAGCGCTATAAAAGATTGAGTACAAAAAATACTATTGTGAATTTTTGAATGGGTTTGAAAATCAACTAAATCAAAATCCCCGTTCCTTTTGGCACTTCATACGCAAAAATAAATCTGGCACTGGAATCCCTTATTCAGTCTTCTACAATGACGCAACAAGTTCTTGGCATGTGTCGATTCCCCATATTTTCTTATCGTACTTTTAGTCAGTTTATCTACCGAATTTCTAGAACTATAACGACTCTGTCACTTCTTTTTCTCATAATAATTTACTTAGCGACTGCATATTTTCTGTTGATGATGTTGATGTTGGTCTCTCCGCTTTAAAAACCTAAAAATCTACCGGACCTGATAGCTTATCTGGTACTTAATTGTTCAACGTCAAGTCAGCCTTATGCTATCCTCTATGGTTGCTATTTAGGCGTTATATGGATTTGGGTGTCATTCTCAAGATGCTGAAGATGAGCTCTGTAGCCCCGACATTCGAAWGCGGGGGTAAGTCTGATGTAAAAAATTATAGACCAATTTCAATCTTAAGTCATATTGCCAAGTTGTTTGGGCTACTGGTGCTACGGAATATTAAACTATCGGTTAACAATATATTAATTTACGAACAATATGACTTCAGACCTGATCGCTCATCTGTATCGAACTTAATTGTACTTAACAACTACATTCTTAAAGTTTTCGAAAGTCACTCTCAGGTTGATGTCACATTCACGGACTTTGCTAAAGCTTTCGTCAGAGTCGACCACCAAATTCTCAAGGATGTTCTGTACGAGTCAGGATTTGGTGATCCTATTCTTTCATGGCTTAAATCGTACCTAACGGGCAGAGTTCAATGGGTCAAAGTTTTTGGGCATACATCTAATGCGATAAGAATTCTCTCGGGTKTTCCTCAAGGAGGCCACTTGTCCGCTATTATTTTTTCACTATTTATTAATGGCCAAAAAAATGTGATACCCTCCGGCCTCCACTAAGTTCCTAATGTTTGTAGATGACCTTAAAATCTAAAATCTTTAGTCGTGTTGGCACATTAAGTGACTGCCATTCTTTCCATTCTTTACAGAGCGATCTTAATTCAATGGTTTCCTGGTTCAATTCTATTGGATTGCAGTTTAATACAGATAAATGTCAAAGGTCATTCTCTAAAAGTAGGTCTATTATCAAATATACCTATCTTATCAATAGCTCAATCATTGAATCGGTAAGTATAAAAAAAGATTTAGGTGTATTGCGTAATCAGGCTTATTGCCAACTATAATAGATATAATTGTACTATTAAAATATTCTATGTGTATGTAGATAATGGTAAATATCATATTAGATATTCACTTTCATTTCTTTCCCTTCATTATTATTTTTATCATTGTGAAATCAAATTACTCACGCAACAGATATTTTATTCTAAAAACTGTCWCCCTGCCTTTGTTATTAACTAAAATTAATGTATATAATTGGATGCATAAAATATATACTTTTTTAAATTCAAAATTGAAAATTATATTTTATTATTAATATTTAATAAAAACTACTGATTTGTAAAAAATATGAAAGTTATAATACATTTAAAACGCAAAGAAATTGTTGTTAATTTTTTATTAAAGAAAAAAATAACTTTAAATATTTTACTGAAATGGTGTTTTTGGAAACTTTGGCAGTTTATTGTATTCTATGTGTATGACTGTGATTCTTACAATATACAGTAATGGTAGGGTAAAGACATTGTTCGTTTTACCGTTTTCTTGAAATAAATCTCGTAACCACTGCTTACTACACTTGTTCAAATCATGCTATACGAAAGTGACATGATTTAAAGTTTTATATAATTATACATTTTTAAATCAATTATTAAATACGTAAATAATTGAAATTATATTGACCTTAAATATATATCTTTCAGTATTAACACAAATTAATTTTGTATTATAAACTAACTAACAATGTAATAGTCGAAACATTTTTTTAATGTACAAAGAAAAATTAAATTCACATAAGTTGTTAACACATTATGTTCAACGTCTATAAAATATTATATTATTTTGACAGTCCGGTATATAACACATGGTAACGTGTTGTAGATAACTCGTTGGAATCAAACATTTTGATATCGATTACGATACTTATTTGCGATCCTAATTTTATTGTTCTCACGCATATCATGTAACCATACAACCATGACTATGACGGGGCAGATTTTGTTGGACTTACGGGATACTCGCTATATCTTTAGAGACTTAATAACATACTATAATTGTTGCACTGTTGATTGTTTTTTCATGATATTATTATTTTGAAGTTAACCAAAAAATGATTATGTGTATCCAATTGTTTACGTAATCGAAGTTTGTGACAAAATTTGTTGCGATTGATCGAATTGTTTGAGTATAAAAACGGAAGTATTGTTAAAATTTTACTTTAAATTACTATAGTTTTAAATAATATTTTGCCGTTTGGTAGATGTTATCATTTTTTTTTTTTATTAATATAGCAGTGTTCTGAAGACTATATATGATATCAGTAGTAACTAGTATTGGTGAGTGTATGATGTATAACACCTGTTAAAATCATACAATTCAATATTTTACCAATTCCAAAGCGGTAATGTCAGAATTAGTGAAGTTGTAATTTCTAACTCATACACTGCTTATTTTTTTCAATAGATTTTTATAGTTGTCAATGTTTTGACTCGTGGATAGCTTAGCTACTACAACTTTACCAGTGGAGTGTTTTATTAACATGACATATTTTGCTTCACCCACCCTCGAATACAAAAAAAAAAAAAAAAATATATATATATAAAAAAAAAATTAAAAACAATCATTGGTAGTGAATTAAATACCGAAATCAAATTATTTTTTGTTGGTAGATTATAGCAAAAAGATAGAATTTTTATATGAATACTGAATGTATGATCGGATAATGAATTTATAATGAAACCTCTTTAACACTATATGGTAGGTATTACCATAATAGACGCTCAAATAACGTTGTCGAGCAAATTCACACAATGAATACATTTTCCATAATTTGCTATTTACTCCTTAAGTCAATACTTTATATTGATAAAAAAGTGGCTATGTGAGTGATTAATACGTAACATGTTATTGTTACCTGAAGGAAATATTATCTCCGTATTAAATGTAATTACTGATAACAGCATCGACATACCATTTGAAAAAAACCTACTYAYTTATGCAACAAAATTGCATACCCGACGCGCCGGCTAACGGATGTTAATTTATATAGTATAATATATGTTACCGGAAATATTGACATTTAGGAAATGATAATAGTTCCTAGAAAATGTTGACGATTCCTAGTAGAGGAAGGAAATGGTATCATTGCCTAATACATGTTATCATTTCCTAACGATATCAGGCAAAGATGCTTTATATATATTTTTTTTAAATATTTTATTTTAATCTCTCTAATTTAAATATTACTTTTATCAAACATAATTATTAATATTACACTACTATTACCCTAATAAATAATCAATAAAAAATCAAGTGTTGTCAAATATTATTTTTTATAACTTTAATTTGTGTAATTTAAGCTTTTTTACATTTTTACTGATATGACTATACTTTTAATAAAACACATACATTTTACAATATTATGCGATACCCACGTGGTAGCCATGACATTTTCCAATCAACCATTTTATCAATATCAGTAATTTAACTTACTGATATTTTTAGAACACGGACAGTATTGACAACAGTATTGCAGTCTAATGGTTTTTAGCATTTCATCATTGAGAGTTAGTTATCATATATATGTATATATATATATATATAATATCAGTAATCTAACGGTTCGTTGTAACTTGCTACTGTGTTATAAGAGAATCAAATATTTTTCAACGCTCGTATAGAGCAGAAGTTTCCAACCTTTTCTGGCTCGTGGCACCTTATTTAGTCATTTTCTAAAAACCTAGAGGCATTCTATAGCCTACGTTGGTCTTATTTAGCAGTCCATAAGTGTCATAACTATAAACAAAAGTAGTAAAACGTAGATATATATATATATACATATTATATTTTATGAAAAAAAAAATTATTAAATTGAATATAAACTATATATTTTTATTTCATGGAACTCCAAATAAAGTTAGCGTCACCCTGCGGGTCGGGAACCTCTGGTATGGAGAGTAGAAGAGCAAAGGTAAATTAATTTCCAAAACATTTTTTTCTCGGCGGTAGGGGTGGCGCGCATACGCGGGTGAGTGATTTTTTCCGTGATTCCGGTAGCAGTGGTGGTGATGACCGGAGCAACAGGAGGACCACTACCACCACCGGCACGTCGGTTTAAGCACCGCCGCCGAATAAGAAGAATATTATTAACCCGCGTGGCGTCGTCGGCAGAGACCGAACGTGATTCGCGATCGTCGGTGGGCGGGAGGGGTGGAAATGGGCGGCCAGGAAACGGTGGCTGCTCGACGACAGGCCGCGGCGGACCCGATGCACGCGCTCCGCATTCTTTAATTCGGCTCCGGGCCAAACGCACCGCCGCCGCCGTATCACAACACGTTGTCACGTTGCCGCCGGTTCACTGTCACACATACACGCGTATCCGCTTCCGTATAAATAATAACGGTTGACAATAGAACAACAACAATAATAACGATATGTAATATTATTGCATCATAGTACGCRAACACGTGGCCGTTCGTCGACCACCTAGCCTGGAGACTCACACTCGTTTCCCGGTAAGTATAGTTTTCCGAGCGTCATATTCAAATTCACTGTTGTAGTTTTTTATAGTAGGTATATGYCATATTATTATATTATAATTAGTGTTTGAAATATTTCACTGTGTGATGAACTATTTCACAAAAACGTGAAACAWTGAAAATTTTTCTAATACAAATATTAATGTTGATTATTTATCTATAACCTAACCAAAGAAAACCATCACTAATCAATAGTTCGTGATCTTTTTTTCCTATATTATAAAATTGTGAATGTGAGTTATGACAATTATAAGTAAAAATAAAACTTATTCAAAAATAAATATTCTATRATACTGAAATATTTCACGCATTTGAAATGTTCCTCAATTTTAAATTTCATGACATTTTCAAACACTATATATTATAATAAACGATAGTAACAACACAACGCGTTATTATGTTATTTTATGTATATTTACGAAAGATTTCGTTTGAGGAGATGAGTTAGAGGATTGAGAATTACTGATCTCTGGTAATATCAACATTAGAACACTTGAAACTCTATTGTGTTACTAGTGTTAGCCAATAATGAATTACGAATTGTCACAGTGGTTAAATTATTTAAGGTATTTATTTTTTTTAAATTGATATGATTTTAGATGATTTCATATTTGATATTATTCATGTAGTTTTAATTTTACTACCATATTATAAAATTTTCAACAACCTTTATCATTAAAAAAAAGTATAATAATCAAAAACATTTCATGGTTAATGCAAGACGTTTCATRGCTTTTTGAAGTGCATAGAATTTTTTGTATTTTTTTCTTTTAGTGATTTATAAACCTTTTCTTAATAGTTATATATTTGAATATTTGACTGTTAAACCCCCGATTTTTATGATTTAATTAATTTTTGAAAACACTTTAAAATAAGGTTAAGGATGAGTATATTATTCTCTTTGAACTATAACARAATAAACCAATGGTAACGAAAACCAAGAATTCCATATTTTTTATGAATATAGTTTAAATAATTTAATTAATTTTCTTCTTCAAACAACACACAAAAAAATGTAATATTTAATATCAAATTCATGTTTAAAATAAGAATAAGTATTTATTTAAGAATAAAAACATAACAATGTTATTAAAACAATAGGGTAGTATATAATTGAAAATAAAAATAAACTATTAAAAAGTATTTAAAAATGCCATCTAGTGATAAATTATGTCTTCAAAAGATAATTTAAGGARATAAAATTAAAATAATAGTATTCTTAAATATTGTAGAGATAAAACAAAACAAATATCTGCTTAAATATTGAAAATTTATCGAGTTGTAAAAGCCTAAATCTTAAATGAAGTATGACGTAGCATACTGTACTTGGATATTATAAACCGTTAAAAGTAAGCAAATTACCAAMATTTTTTTGATAAAATACAGAGATATGTAACATTATAAAATGTTTGTTACTTATTGAAATGTTTATTAATTTATATTAATTTGTATTTAATTACATTAAATTATTTATTTAAGTTTTTCAAATCTGAATACCTTCTTCAGTGCATTATATCATATTTTATGTTTGTGTCATCTAACTATTACGGCCACAATAAATTGCACTTTCTATTTTAATTTTTGTGCATATAAAATAAACATTTTTATGAATTCAGATTGTTAAAAATGATATAAACAATTTAATTTAATTAATTTTCCAATGACCTTACACAATATAAATTCTAAAAATGGCAACAAAAACAAATACAATTTTTTTTTAAATGATTAACTTTATATTATTATATGATTATAATATTTTTTACAATATTTTGATATGTAATAATAAGATAAAATAAATTTAAAATGTATTTAAATAAGTTGCTGTTAGAAAATAACAGAACAAAAATATTTCTTCTTTTAAGTGTCTTAAGAAAGAATTTTTGTACTTTTCATTATTTTAGGTTTGATGGATTTAAAAAACCAGGATTCACCAATTCATAATTGAATTTAAAAGATTTATATTTATATTAAAAGTTAAGCGTCTTTCTTATTTTTCATAAGTTTATAACCTCTTCGAAATTATTCTTGATTCTTGAATCATAGTTTTCATATACAGGTAGTGTAATTAAATAAGCCTAACCTAACCTAACCTAACCTAACTTAAACCAGGATTAACAATTAATAACTATGAAGCATAATAGGAAAGAGATTATAATCAGTTTACATTGTTTAGAAAAATAATTAAAACCCATGTCCATGACAATCAATCAATACGATGAAACAAAAAGCATAATATGGTTTATTAGATGAGAAATTCTCAAAACGAAGAATGGTAAGTCCGTGGAAAAATGTGGCAATTATTTAGTTGAAAAATATTTTAGAAGTAARGAATAGAATTATGTATAGTTAATTTATTATTACTACGCAATTATTATAGGTTATGTTTTCAAAGCATAATTTATTATATTACCAAAAACCCAGCGTCATYATGTTTTACTGAATTTACTTATTAATTAATTTCTATATTTTTTTAACACTTTAAGAATTACGTTTGATAAATATTTGAACAGATTATTTTAAAATAATATAGTTAACGCAGTCATGATTTAAATACGTTAAAGCAACAGTCAACAATGGATTTTGAAGTTTGAGGTATTATTTATTATTATTTTTAATAAACATCCAAAATATTCATAATACTWTGTGTTTTTAGATTAAATTTAATGTTCCTAAAGTTTTAATAGATTATTACTTTCTAATGTGCAAGTGCATTTAATATTCATGTTTAAAGTTAGTCATTTTGTCAACATAATATTCAACGTTGATTGCGGTGTTATTTGTTTGYCTAAATGTGATAAATGTTTTTATAGTTTCCGTATGTTCTATTCACAAATTGTAAAATTATTTTTTATCAATTTTTTATAACTAACTGTTACTTGTTAGTAAAAAATCAAATGKGGTACAAGAATTTAATCATCTAAACAAGAGCACTGAAGCGTCAGTTGGTTATTACTATTATATTAAAATATAATATTCGTATTTTATTATGTACATAATATGATATTGTACAGGTAATATCATATTATATATATTATGTGTTTACATATAAAGACTGTTAATATATGTTTTTAATTAAATTTTATATATCATTATTTTCAATTTAATTATGGATTTCGTTTTAGATTCTAAGCAGAGNGATATAAATGTATTGATTTTGCAATGACATGGGTATTTTAAAAGAAGWTTTTGTATCTCTAATACATTTTTAAGGTAGTAAAAATACTTCAAYCTTTAATTTTGAAGATAGTTTTTGGTATCGAATGGGAACTATAGTTTATATTGGAAGAAGTGAAAAATAAAATATTGTCTATGTATTTGTTTAAATGATTGGAGAKAATAAAAAAATATAGAATACGGGAATATTATATTATATTAAAAAATTGACAAAATCAAGGTTTTTTATTCAAAAACAAATAATATCTTAGAAACTTGAAAATTTTACCAAATTCCAAATAGAATATTATAATAGCATTGTATATGAAATTAATATAATTTTCAAAATATTTTCACATTTTTGTGGTTTTTATAGAAATTTGAATTTTTTTTTTGAAAAATAATTTTATTGTTATTACTTATATATTCTTTTATTCATAGAAATTTCTTTTGTAAGGAATAAGTAAATTTTACGATTATTCTAGTTGAAAATAAAATCTTTTAAATAGTTAGAAAGAAAGTATTCTTGTTTCATTTCACATATCGTCGATATAACTGAAATTCTTGTCTGATTTGATCAACATCAAATTCTTCTCATATTCCCTATTTTCTAATCAGATGATTGGAAGATAAGAACATATTATAAAGAGATATAATATGCATTAACGATTCTGTTAAGTGATGTTGATAATGGCAAATATGGATAAGATATTCAATATATTCAATATTTTGTTTGACCTGATTAGGGAATTATATGGGCACCTATCTGAATTATTTTATTTTCTGTAACATTTATATGATAAGCATACAAACAATTAATTATTTGCTAAATCCACAGATAAAATATGATTATTAAGTCAGAAATAAAATTAAAATTAACGAAAAAAAATTAGTTAATTTTTGAACGTTACAACCTAAAATCATAAATGTTTTTTAATTAAAAAATATTCTGTAGTAGTTTGAATAATAAAATAAATATTTAAGTTCTAAATTATAATAATACAAAATAAAACAATAATAAGACACACTGTTTATAATCATAATAATAATTGCATCAATCGATGCAGGGTTTAATTTCCTCATACAATTTTATTAGTTGAAAATTATTGTTTTATATTCGCATAAAATTAAACTTTATAAATGTATAATTAAACAAGCGTATATGCAAGGATATTCAATATAGCGTCTTTAAACCTCGTATATTATACTAAAACAGTCTAACATTCGTTTTACAACTTTAAGTTTTTCCAGYATTACATTTCTGCAATAGAATAATTCTTGTAATAATCGGACTAAGTTATTTTTGGAAATTTATATGATATACGTTTATTATATAATATTTTATGAACCAATATAGTTTGATATAAAATGGTTTGCTTGTGAATCGAATCGGTCTGCTTGATTACGTTTGCGCCTTTAAATTATTTTAATTTCAAGTAAAATTTGTTATATTTCCAGTCCATAAAACGTTAGGTTAAAAATAACTACCTGATGATTAATTGTCATATTTCATGCTTATTAAAATTAATCAATTAATAAAATAATTATCATATAGATGTTTTATTATAATCAAGTACGCTTGGAAAAAAATATTTAATGCGAAACATGAAATACATGCGTGTGATATCTGCTTATATATTTTTTTTTATTTTCATAAACGATTTATTCAACAAGCTCGTCGTATTTTATCAATCGGATAAAAATATGTCAAGAAAATCACGCACAAAGCGTACATATATATGCATATACAAACAATTTTTTTTGTTGATATATCATGCTGTAAAACAATCATTCATAACCCGCAATAATGTTTTTTATGGAAT